TGGTTTTCCCTGAGGTCTTTTATAAAATATCAGTTGTACATCTGTAGAAATGCTTTCATTGTTTTGGGGGGTGTAGGAATGGCTTTGGGTTTAGAACTTGAGTCTCATCTCACTTTTAATCTAGTACACTGCATCAATGGCTCTACATTGTGAGGCAGAACTTGTAAAAAAGAAGAAGAGAGAATCATAGAATTGTAAAGTTGGAAGGGACCACGAAGATCATCAAGGCAACGAGGTTGGAACCCATGACCCTGGGATTTAAGAATCTCATGCTCTGCCAACTGAGCTTTCCAAATAGCTTATATCTCTGAGCCCTTTCCCCTTGGCTGATGAAAAACAGGGACACCTGGCTGGGCCCGAGGGGGTGGCATACCCTCCAACATTTCTCTGATGAAAATAGTGGTGTCCGATTCTTCTTCTTCTTCTTCTTCTTCTTCTTCTTCTTCTTCTTCTTCTTCTTCTTCTTCTTCATACCCTACCCATCTGACTGGGATGCCCCAGCCACTTTGAGCAGCTTCTAACATATATAAAACATAATAAAACATTAAACATCAAAAAAACTTCCCTATACAGAGCTGCCTTCAGATGTCTTCTAAAGGTTGTATAGTTACTTATCACCTTGGCTCCGGGGTCACATAACTCCATACCCTCCAACATTTCTGACAAAAAGAGGAACGTCCCAGGAAAAAGTGGAACATTCTGGGATCAAATCCAAAACTGGGACGGCTCCAGTAAAACCAGGTCTGTCCCTGGAAAATATGGACACTTGGAGGGTCCCCAAGACTTCACTGTTGCTTCTTGGGCAAGAGGGCCCCTTCAGATGGCAATAGAGCAATAACACAATAGAGCCATGCAAATGCCCCGATGGTGGGAAGAAGAAGAAGAGTTTGGATTTGATATCCTGCCTTTCACTCCCTTTAAGGAGTCTCAAAGCGGCTAACATTCTCCTTTCCCTTCCTCCCCCACAACAAACACTCTGTGAGGTGAGTGGGGCTGAGAGACTTCAGAGAAGTGTGACTGGCCCAGGGTCACCCAGCAGCTGCATGTGGAGGAGCGGAGATGCGAACCCGGTTCCCCAGATTACGAGACTACCGCTCTCAACCACTACACCACACTGGGAGAATCTCCGACCATCCATGTAACTTCAGAGAACACCAGAAAATGAGGCCTTTGTGATTTCAGCAGATAAAACGAAGAAAAGAATGCAAACTGCTTGCTCCACTAGGCTAGAGAAGCAGCTCCCAGTTGCTTATCATTTTAAGAAATTAAACTTGCGAGTGCAACTTCTTGTTGTTTTTTTTAAAAGATATTTATTAAGATTTTACAAAATGAAAAAAGAAAAAAGAAAAATACAAAATAAAAATAGTTAAAAAACAATTCCATCTTTCCATCACTTATTTTACATTTGCTTGTTTCCCGGACCTCCTCACACCTCCCTTTTTTGTATTCCAATTCAATTTATTAGTTCAGCAAATCCTTTCCCTCTTTGTTTATCCTAGTCTTTAATCTTAAAATATTATAACATTAAATTTTTACCTGTTAATAATCCTTTTTTCATATTTCTAATAGTGTTATAGCTAAAAACCACTTAACTTTTTATCCAACATTATTCTAACATTCATTAATTTTACACAATTTCTGAAGATAGTCTTTAAATTTCTTCCAATCTTCTTCCACCGACTCTTCTCCCTGGTCTCGGATTCTGCGGTCATTTCTGCCAGTTCCATATAGTCCATCACCTTCATCTGCCATTCTTCCAGGGTGGGTAGATCTTGTGTCTTCCAATACTTTGCAATAAGTATTCTTGCTGCTGTCGTGGCATACATAAAGAAAGTTCTATCCTTCTTTAGCACCAATTGGCCCACGATGCCCAGGAGAAAGGCCTCTGGTTTCTTCAAGAAGGTATATTTAAATACCTTTTTAATTTCATTATATATCATCTCCCAGAAAGCCTTAATCCTTGGGCACGTCCACCAAAGGTAAAAGAATGTACCTTCAGTTTCTTTACATTTCCAACACTTATTGTCGGGCAGATGATAGATTTTTGCAAGCTTGACTGGTGTCATGTACCACCTGTATATCATTTTCATAATATTCTCTCTTAAGGCATTACATGCCGTAAACTTCATACCAGTGTTCCACAACTGTTCCCAGTCAGCCATCATAATGTTATGTCCAACATCTTGTGCCCATTTAATCATAGCAGATTTCACCGTTTCATCCTGAGTATTCCATTTCAGCAGCAAGTTATACACCCTTGACAAAGTCTTAGTTTTGGGATCTAACAGTTCTGTTTTCAATTTTGATTTTTCCACCTGGAATCCAATTTTTTTGTCCAAATTGTATGCCTCCATTATTTGATAATAATGAAGCCAATCTCACACTTTGTTTTTTAGTTTTTCATAACTCTGCAATTTCAGTTTGTCTCCCACTTGTTCCAAAATTTCCCAGTATTTCGGCCATCTGGCCTCCATATTGAGTTTTTTCTGAGCCTTCGCTTCCATCGGTGACAACCACCTTGGGGTTTTACTTTCAAGCAAGTCCTTGTATCTTATCCAGACATTAAACAGTGCTTTCCTAACAATATGGTTTTTAAATGCTTTATGTGCTTTGACCTTATCATACCACAGATATGCATGCCATCCAAATACATTATTGAAACCTTCCAAATCCAAAATGTCTGTGTTTTCAAGGAGTAGCCATTCTTTCAACCAGCAGAAAGCTGCTGATTCATAATAAAGTTTAAGGTCTGGCAGGGCAAATCCACCTCTTTCCTTTGCATCCGTTAATATTTTAAATTTTATTCGGGGCTTCTTGCCCTGCCAGACAAATCTAGAAATATCTCTCTGCCACTTCTTGAAACAATCCATTGTATCCATAAACTTGGAGTGCAACTTGGAGGATAAAGCTCCCCACTTATTCTTATTCTTGCTGTGAATCAGCCCTTTACCCCGTGGTTACAACCATTAACCATGAAGGAAATCAGCCCTGAGTGCTCACTGGAAGGACAGATCGTGAAGCTGAGGCTCCAATACTTTGGCCACCTCATGAGAAGAGAAGACTCCCTGGAAAAGACACCCCTGATGTTGGGAGAGATGGAGGGCACAAGGAGAAGGGGACGACAGAGGATGAGATGGTTGGATAGTGTTCTCGAAGCTACCAGCATGAGTTTGACCAAACTGCGGGAGGCAGTGGAAGACAGGAGTGCCTGGCGTGCTCTGGTCCATGGGGTCACGAAGAGTCGGAAATGACTAAATGAATAAACAACAACAATATGCGCAAGCAGGTAAATGCATAACTTTTCAAGCGGCCCTCCTTGACAGCAGAGAGGGGGGAGACAACCAGGTGCCTAGAAACTTGGGCTTGGGGAGAGCTGGGTTCAAGTCCCTTTCTAGCTTTAGGAATTCAGAGTCCCCTGGACCAGTTGCTGTTCCTGATACCAGTCATCCTCACAGAGCTGTTTTGGGGATAAAAAGTGGGGTGAGGGGGGAATAAGCCATTTCACTAGCACTGGGGACCCATGTTGCTAGCACCTGCTCACAACACCTTGCCACAATTTAAGCTGCGTTTCCAACAGTCATAGCAGTTTGTATCTCTTCTCCACCCATCACTACGGTTTGAAATCTTGCTGGTTGCAGCAATGCTTGTTTTAGTATGAATGTGCTTCTAAGCCACTTTCTTTGAACATAAGCATGTGTTTGTGGTGAAATAAGAATGCAGTTTCACAGATCAATGAAAAACAAGCTAAAATAGGTGACATAAAAGGAAAGGGGAATGGGGAGGGAGGAGGAAAGGAACAAGCTCAGGTACTAGTTCTTCAAGTTGTAATGACCAGTTGGGATAGAAACAGTGATGGAGTGACTGTTACTAGGGGACAATTGCAGAAGAGCCCAAGGCAGCTCTGAGCCATAGCAATGGAATAACCCTTATTGGGTTCTCTCTCTCTCTCTGCTCTGCAACCTCATGCGATATTGGCATTTGCTCAGTTCTATGTATGCCCATTCCCAGCATGGCCTACTTTAAAAAGGGTTCAGTCTAAGCACTGATGAGGAACACAGGGACGGTGTCCTGCGAAATGTACAGGGCAGCACAGCCCATGGAGCCCCTTCCGGAAGCTGCCAGACTGCAGCTCCCACCCTCTCTGACCCCTGGCCATGCTGGATGAGTCAGAGGGAAGTTGGAGTCCAGCATTATCCAGAGGACACCCCATTTGATGCCCCGATAGACAGAATCCAGCCTGTAAATAAGGAACGTTAATGCATCCACTCAAAACACATTTAACTGGGCAGAAGCCCCACTCAATGCAAGAAGGTTTACTTCTGACAACGGGTGGAGATGGTGAGGGTGTATTTGCAGAGGGCATTTGAAGATGATGCCCTGTTCAATTTCTTTTTCCTTTTCTTCCCGTCTGAGGTCTCCAGAGCAAGCAGTTATCCTACCTGACATGGGTGAAGGAGTTCATTTTTTAGTCATCTATAAATCCAATAATTTATGCATTTTCACAGCTGCATAAGGTCTTGTGGGGAGAGGAAGGTTTCCTAAAATTGCAGAGTTGTGAGGGGCCCTGAGGGTCAGGGACGCGGACTTATAAAAAATATTGGGGGGGCCCGGGAAAGCTCATGAATAATAAATAAGCTCATGAATATGCAAATAAAGTGGCGCCGCCTCCTCGTGAGCGAATAGGGGAGAGCGTGCTGCGCCTATTAATCAGCTCCAAAGGAAATTGGGTGGAGCTTTTGCTCGGGAGGGAGGGCAGGAGGCATGCAGCCCGACCCTCTGCATTTTGGGCTGGGGGAGGGGCGGCGGTGGCGCTCTGCTGGAGGGGCGCCCGAGATTATTGGGGGGCGGAGCCCCCCCAAACGAATTTTTGAGGGGGCTCGGGCCCCCTCAAGCCCCATGGAGTCGGCGCCTATGCTGAGGGTCATCTATTCCCACCCCTGCAGTGCAGGAAACATTTGCCCAACGTGGGGCTCAGACCCACAACCCTAGGATTAAGAGACTTGTCCTCTGCCAAATCAGACATCTCAAATGGAAAACAAGACTGAAGGTGAGAAAATTTATTAGGACTCCTAAAAGTGTGACTGTCTCTCTAAGAAGCTGCAGAGGGAATTCTGGGGAAAGGAAAGAAAATGCAAAGCAAGAGCAACCCATTTTTATTCTGTTATTTCTGATTTTGACTGGAATGAATCCTCTCAAAGGGCCCTTGGAAAACTGCCCAACCTGCTCTTGGCGGGTAAATGGTTTTTATGTCAGTCACTCTGGTCTGGAGAGAAACTCCTGCTGGGCCTGAGAGGCAGATTTAGTCCCCTCAGGAGATAATGAGCTGGGTTTTATAATTTCCCTCCAGATCAAAGAAAGGGAGGAGGGTCTCTCCAGAGAACGAGGCTCCTGAGAACGTGTAGAGTTCAGATCCTGAGTCAGCGTCAGAAAAAGACACACGTCCCCCTTCATAGTCCAGAGTCACCCGGATCCTCCTGGGCTTCTTCCTCAGGGACAGAGGAGAGAAATCAGGGGATGTCCAGGCAAAGTACTCATCTCCCCTCTTCTCCACAGCCCAGATCCCCCACTCAGGGCTTAAGGGGAAGATGCCCTTTCTCCTCACAGATCTCCTGGCGACCCCCAAAGCCCACCCTTCCCCACTTCTCTCAGTGACATCCCAGAAATGTCTGCCTGCTGTGAATCCCTCACGTCCCAACACACAAAGCCAGTCACTGAATCTCTCAGGAGTATCAGGCAGGGCTTGAGGTTTGTCTCCCCTTCTCACACTTTTCCTATCCTCGGACAGGATGAGTTTGGGATGGGCTGTGTCTGGATCCAGAGTGACATTTGCTGTTGGGGAGAAGATGAGGGAAAGAGAAGAATATGCAGAGTCAGAAACGGACATCCTGATAAATAAATAAATAACACCCCGAAACCCCAGATTTCCTTTCAGATCAAGGGGATTTCTTTGCGTCACATGCTAGACTGAGACAACTCCTTGCAGACTCCCATCAGAATAAATATCTTCCTGGTTGTTTTTTAAATCAGTTCCCTTCACTTTCTTATATCCGATGTGTATTATTCCTGCCCTTCTCTCAACCCAGGCATTTTCTAAGAGGAAAAACCACCCAGGAAACCTTTTACTCATCTCTTCTGTGTTATCTAAAGGGAAAGAGAGAATTGGAGGAGGCAGGAGAGGGGATTGGCCTTTGGGGAGCTCCGGGTTGGGATATGAGGACTCCCCCGTAATAATAATAATAATAATAATAATAATAATAATAATAATAATTTATATTTGGATACTGCCCTCCATCCATAGGTCTCAGGGGGTTCACAGCATAAAAATACAACATTAAACCACATATAGGCCTCCCCTCACTTTCGTGGGGGTCACGTTCTGGGCCCTTGTGCCCACAAGTGAAAATTATGTTAAATGGGGAGCCTGTTTATTCCTGCTCTCCATCGCTCTCACCCACTTGGCCTGTCTTTGCCTTCCTCCCCACCATCTTGGAAGTCTGGGGAAAATAAAAGGCAGGTGGCAGGGCAATTTTACAAAGGACGGCTTATTCCATGCTTCTCTTTTGGATGTAATATATAACATAAGACTAGTTCCATGGAGGGAAGAGGGAATAACTCAAAAAGTTACCAGTTAGGAGCTTAGACAGTCATGACAGGCAAGTGTGGGGTTGCCCTACATATGGACTCTCCTTAAGGGCAGGGGGATGTTAACTCTTGCCCTCCCAGACTCCTTCTCCAAGATCTTGTGGCTGAGCCAGCGTCCTTTTAGTTCAGCCACAAGAGAAGGGTTTTATACAGGATGTGGCCAGCTGAAGATGCTGCTCTGTTGCAATTCTCTGCTCTAGGCTAGCTTAGCTGGGTGCCTTAGGTCTGAGTCTGATGCACTAGAAATTTTTTCACGGGTTACTGTAAACCAAACCAAACAACTTGAGACATTTTGCCAAATTTTAAAAATCCGCCCAGGGGAGAAATTTTAATCATGAAAATAGAGGACTTGTCTGAGAAAAAGGTCACATGGAAAAGCAACCCAATTCTCTCTAGGCAGGAATGAAACGCTTCCCTCTTTTATCTGATCCTTCTGGGCAATTTCTCTCCCCTCCTCCTTCTGCACCTTCAAGTCCACCCTCTCTGCCTTTGTGGTACAAACAGCAGGGCCAGAGTCAAGCTGTACAGAAGAGACTCTTGACCCCCATGAAACACTAGTCCCCCTCCCCCCGTGAACTGGGGTCTCCATGTGAAATTTACCTCTCTGAAGATTTTTGAATGACTGAACATCTGAAGAAGCAAAAAACCAGGCTTAACAGGCTACACAGACATTTTGGATTTAGAAGGTTTTAACAATGTATTTGGATGGCATGCATATCTGTGGTATGATAAGGTCAAAGCACATAAAGCATTTAAGAATCATATTGTCAGGAAAGCATTGTTTAATGTCTGGATAAGATATAAGGATTTATTGGAAAACAAAAGCCCAAGGTGGCTGTCACCGATGGAAGCCAAAGCACAGAAAAAGCTCAATATGGAGGCCAAATGGCCGAAATATTGGGAAATTCTGGAACAAGAGGGAGATAGACTGAAATTGCAGAGTTTTGAGAAACTAAAAAACAAAGTGCGAGATTGGCTTCATTATTATCAGATAATGGAGGCATATAATTCGGACAAGAAAATTGGTTTCCAGGTGGAAAAATCAAAATTAGAAACAGAACTGTTAGAACCCAAAACTAAGATTTTGTCAGGGATGTACAACCTGCTGTTGAAATGGAATACTCAGGATGAAACGGTGAAATCTGTTATGATTAAATGGGCACAAGATGTTGGACATAACATAATGATGGCTGACTGGGAACAGTTATCGACCACAGGTATGAAGTTTACGGCATGTAATGCCTTAAGAGAGAATATTATGAAAATGGAATACAGGTGGTACATGACCCCAGTCAAGCTTGCAAAAATCTATCATTTGTCCGATAACAAATGTTGGAAATGTAAAGAAACTGAAGGTACATTCTTCCACCTTTCGTGGACATGCCCAAGGATTAAGGCTTTCTGGGAGATGATCTATAATGAATTGAAAAAAGTATTTAAATATACCTTCTTGAAGAAACCAGAGGCCTTTCTCCTGGGCATAGTCGGCCAATTGGTGCCAAAGAAGGATAGAACTTTTTTTATGTATGCCACAACAGCAGCAAGAATACTCATTGCAAAGTATTGGAAGACACAAGATCTACCCACTCTGGAAGAATGGCAGATGAAGGTGATTGACTATATGGAACTGGCGGAAATGACTGGCAGAATCCGAGACCAGGGAGAAGAGTCGGTGGAAGAAGATTGGAAGAAATTTAAAGACTATTTACAGAAATATTGTAAAATTAATGAATGTTAGAACGATGTTGGATAGAAACTAAGGGGTTTTTAGCTGCAATACTATAAGGGAATATGAAAAATGGATTACTAATAGGTAAAGATTTAATGATACAATATTTTAAGATTAAAGATTAGGATAAACAAAGAGGGGAAGGATTTGCTGAACCAACAAACTGAACTGGAATACAAAAAAGGGAGGCGTGAGGAGGTCCGGGAAACAAGCTAATGAAAAACAAGTAATGGAAATATTGAGTTGTTTTTAATTATTTTTATTTTGTATTTTTCTTTTTTCTATTTTATTTTGTAATATTTTGAAAATCTTAATAAATATCTTATTAAACAAAAAACAAAAAGACAGGCTTAACAGGCTACAACACAGTAGCTAAAAAATAAATATTTTTTTTACAAAACATCACCATAACATAGCCTCTGTTGTTTCCTTATTTCAAGCAAAAGATGAAATCATTCAAAGACGACAACTGTAGGACTAAGTAGTGATGTTAATTATTCTCCAAAATATAATTCTTGAGAATGTAACATCACTAGGCCTAAGGAATTAAAACAACTAACGAGTTTAGCTGTGATTCCTGCATTGCAGGGGACTGGACTACATGATCTTGGGATCCTTTCAGACTCTGCCATTCCATGATTTCATGGGAAAATCAGAAATGGTAAACCATACTAGAAAATGGTGGAATACAATCATTCAAAATCCACAAATGAAATGGGGATCTGAACTGGATGGATGAAGAAAGGTTTAACATCTGCCCCAAGTAAACTGGTGGGGAAAAGCTGTTGAAACTGGAATTTCCAAGTATGCTGACAAACCAAATTGCAGAGGGAAAATCGGCAGAGCTTTGCACCTGTAATTCCAAGGGACTCGTGCAATGGGAAATCCTCCCACATGGAAGGGGCTGATCTCCTAAGAACCTGGGGAACTCTGAGCAGATGGGGATGGCTGAAGCACAAGAAATGGCTGGTGAGGTTGAAACTCTGAGGAAGAGGCGGCTCAGGCCTTGCTCTGCTGCTGGGAGACCAGCCTGGGCAGGAGGTGGAGAGGGACTTGGGTGCTTGCGGGTGCCCCTTTTAACACACTTCACGAGGGGAAATCCAAGCAAATCTAGAGAAACTCCAAAATAACATCCTCAGATTGTGTGGAGGGAAAACAAAATGCAAGGGAGATTCCTTATACATGAGAACTCGCCAAGATGGACATTGAACTGACTCTGCAGGATCCTTCCTAAGGGCTTTTGTAATATATCGTAAGGCTCTGAGGCTTTTTCCTACCACAAAGCAGTATATACATTTTATGAAAGAAAGCAAAATCTATAAAATAAAAAACCAGGATAATAGTCTATAGGCAGGAAAGGAACTGACGACTGGTGTGCAGGTTCTTCGCAGGGACAAGATCTGCCCCCAATCCAAGCCTTCAACCCTCCTCCCAGTTCATTAATGGGGCAGACAAAGAACCCAAACACCAGTAGAGGACTGTTACCCAGAGTTATGCCATTGATGGGGGTTCCAAAGTCTGCAGAACAGACTGCTCAACACCCATAAAATATCAGTCCCCATCCCTCCTGTCAAATTGTTCCTCCCCTGGAAATTTACCTTTCTGAATCGGTTTTCTGTATAACAGAGCATCTGAGGAAGCAAAAAGATATAAAGTGTAAGGGCAACACTCTTCCACCTGAAATAAATCTCCATACAAAAGTAACACTTCATAACGTGGCATCCTTAAATTCAAGCACAATTATTAAGTATTAATTAAATTGTACAAAAAATAATTAAAAACAAGAAAATCATAGGAAGAATCTATGAAAATAACTAAAGCTTTAGAACTCAGCAATCATAAAGCAAGCTTACAAATAAGAGAATAAAAACATTCAGCATGAATCCTGCTGGTCTCTGAACTTTGCCCCTAAATTGGGCTCTACATTGGAGGACTGGAGGGGAGGCAGAGCAATAGGAAACCCGCAAAAGGAGGCAGAGGGGAGATGGAGGCAGCCTTAACATCTTCCCCAAGTAAAGTGGTGGGGGGAATCATTAAAACCAAAATTATGAGACATAAGGAGAAGCAAAGTTTGATGAGGAAGGATTGGCAGAGCTCTCAGGCAAAAGGAAGCCCTTCCTCACAAACCTTCTACAAATCTTTAAGGTTGTTAACAAGCATAATTGTTCCCTTTGGGGCTCATGTGATCTTGCTTCCACTCTCAATGGGGGAACTCTCAGGAGATCTTGAAGGCTGAAGCCCTAGATATGGCAGCTGCAGGGGGACGTCTGAGGAGGAGGCGGCTCAGGCCTTGGCTCCACGGCTGAGAAAGAAGCCTGAGCAGGAGGCAGAGGGGGAACTGGGGGCTTCTTAATGCCCTTTGACTTTCTTTACAGGATCCAGCGTCACAATATACAGGGGCCATTCTGGGGGACAGGAAATGAAGGCTGGAGCACCAAGAAGGAAGGTATCCTGGGGTTACTCAATTCCATGCAGTAAGAGGATGGCATGTTCAGTTCTGAAGAAGTAACAGAATTCCCAGTGTGAAATCCTAGCAGCCAGTTTTCATTACCTTTAAATTGTTTCATTGCATCCTCCACAAAATCACAGGATTCCAAGATCCTGTTCCTCAGTTCTGGAGGGAAAGCCAGTGGCTTCTCTGGACTCTCTCTTTCCTCATACCTGGTGAAAAGAAAAACAATGAATGGCCCCATTGTGGCACTGTCTCCCTAATTATTGCAGGAGATCTCAATAACCTGAACAAAGTTGAAGTTCATTTCCCAACAGGTAATTTTCAGGATTCAGCTTCATCTCTTGACACCCACCTCCAAGCCCTGGTCAGTGGCTTCGTAAGGATGCTAAAGAGCACAAGGGACAAGATGTAAGCCCCAAGCGACACCACTGGAGGGCTCCCATGGCTTCAAACAATGTTGCTCCCTAACAACTTTCTGGGAAGGTCCCAGGACTTAAGAACCAAACCCCTGAGGTGGAATGCCTGCAATCCCTCCCTCCCTGAGCCTCCCCAGAGGATGTGAGTGATGTCCAAAGCTGCCAAGTGGTCAAGGAAAACAACCTCCACCCTCCCTTCACCCCCTCTCTCACCCAGGAAGGGCACAACCCCATGCCCCATGGGACTCTCCCTCTAGAGGCATAAAACAACTAGACTTTCACCCCCAACTCAAGACCACCTTCAGCTTCTCAAGGTGGAAACGCTCCCAAGAAAAATAACCCACCCATTCTAGACCAACAGACCTTCCCTCCCTCAGTGCCTCAAAGGAGCTGAGTTACCAGAGTTGGGGGGCTTCTAGTTGGACATTGAAATATGTCCTAAACTCTTCCGAAGCATCTTTGGGACTTTCTCTTCTAGATGTTTGAAATTACCAAAAAGTCCATGAGCAGAAAGTGCAAGAGAAAGAAAAGAGCCCCCATCCCTTTGTGAAGTGATGTGGGGAGGGAGGGAGGAGGCAGTTGACCTTGGAGGGAGAATTGGGGGGCTACAAGTTCAGAAGAGGGGGCTCTACTTTTACCTGTGAGGTGTTGCAGGGAGTGAGTCCCACAGTCTCCCCCCTGCAGCCCCTGGAGGGCCATGTCTGAGGTTCTTGCATCTCAGCTTCAAAGAGTGATGCTAATGGAAATGAGCCAGATCCACTTACCTCTGCAAGGTCCTTCTCACATCCTAGAGGGGAAAAGAGAAGGGAATTCACTGCACACCACAGGCCACACTAGGAAGACCCCCTCAGACCCTGGCCCTCGGATGTCAGTCTGCCTGGAACATGCCAAGGTTTTGGGTAGGGATGGCGGAATCAGCCAGTTTTGGTTTCTCACAGCTTTTATTTTTCCAATCTGAAATTATTAATTGTTCTGAGATTTCAAGTTCTCCACATTTCCATATTTTAATAACTTTAATCCAGTTTGCATTGTGCTATTCAGACAAACATAAGCCTACAGGATAATCCTGCCAGGGCACCATCCCAGTCCCCAAATTTCAAATTCTATTTTCCATCTGGAAATAAAAAAAGCACCTGCAGCATAAAATGTCTCCAAAGGGGTAATAAAACAACTCAATGTTTCTTTGGGCTCATCCACACTTCTGCTTTTCCTGTGCCCAGAAAACACGAGTCCAAGTGGTTTTGCCTTTGCCCTGCCTCTTTCCCTCAGGAAAAACCTGCTCCTTAGTGCAACATCAAAGCAAACGTCAATCCAGAGAAAACCTGGCTGATGTTTGCTCTAATTCAGCAGTAAAAAGAGGGTTTTCCTGGAGGAAAGGAGTGGGACAAGCAGCAGTCTGGATGAGTCCCTCTGTCTTGCTCTTTGGTCACCGTGACTGAGCACCATTTTGGGCTGATCTGGATCCATTGTGAAGGGGATCAACCCAGAAGTTGTGGAGGAAACGGGGAGAGAAGCTTGGTCAAGGGACTGGCTAATGTCGGAAGGAGGCCTGAATCCTTGGTGAAGCCCCTCAAAGGGCAGGAAGGCAGCATTGCCAAGCTGGAAAGCATTTGGAGACAGATCATCAGCAAAGAGCAGAAAATCACCTCCTGTTCCATCAAAAAATTATAGTCTGCATTCAGGTGAGTTAAGCATCCCAGGTCTCTTGGGTCTTCCTGTCCATTACAAACCTGACTAGAGGCTCCATCATCTCAGCCCCTGCACTCCTTGCATACATGAAAGGGGCAGCCTTTTCCTGGAGCCCTGGACTGTTCCTGCCACCATCTTACCTGCAGGAGTTCACTCGCTGGCTGCTGACTCTTCTCCTCCATCTCCTGGATGATCCTCTCAAGAGAGGAGAGTTTCCTGGAGAGTCTGGCCAGCTGCTCATCCCTTCTCCCTGCAATCTCCTTCTCCACCTCTTCCACATCATTCAGCAGACGTTTCTCTTGTTCTTCCAGGAACTGGCGCAGTTCTCTGAACTTCTCCACAGTCTTCAGCCTCTCTGTTTCTGTTAATTTCTGCAAGAAAAGAGGAGGTCTGAGTGTGGAAGGAGCTCAGCCTTCAAAACATCAGGAAGAGAATTGTGAGAATTCCACAGGGACGACACTTCAGATTTTTCAGAGACATTAAACCTCCAGTTACTAAAGAAGTAAACCTTTATTTTGAGGGGAGGCCCTCTCCATTGCTGTTTCTGTTGACTTCTATTTTGCAGAGGGCTACAGCCTAAAGGAAGGAGCATTTGTTTTCTAGCCATGGATATGTGGGATGTAAAAATGTATTGCAAGCAAATACAACAGTCCTACAATGCACATGCTGGGAAAGGTTTGTATCACTCAGGAGAAAACTTGCTAGTTCCTCCTGAGCTGGGACAGACTTCCTTTGGATTTGACTTAATGTGAGTGTGGCCTGTTCTTGGGAGAGGAGCACACGGCCTCCATGTTCTGCTCTGTGTCTTCTCCATTGTGTGTTCCTAAGAGTTAGGAGAAGTGACTGCTCAGTCGCAGTCACTTGAGACTATTTCTCTTATGGGATAGTTCACATAGTTATAGGTTGTTCTGTAAATTAAGCCTGCCTTCAGGAATCTCACTGTGAACTGGATGATTGTAAGTAAACTAGTTTTATGTTAACTTTAATCAGATGGCCGTGTCTATTCTTTTAGGAGGGATATAAAAAAGGGAAACCAGGAATCATAATAGTGAGGCTCAGATGAGCCTGCAACTAGTTAACTGCTGTGTAATTTAAAAGGGGGATTGTTTAGCAACTCTGCTAAGTTATAGAACTTGCCGGCGAAAGTTATGGATATAATAAAATAATATATCTTCTCCTGCCTCCCTAAACATCCCCACAGGATATTGCCTGCATGATTCGGGGCATGGCATAAGCAGAGTTCATAGCTGTCCAGAGAACGTCCATGGACATAAAACACCCTCAATTTAGACTGGGACCATTGAGGTGTAGGAAGGCAACAGAAACAGGAGAATGAGGAGAAAGCGCAGAGTTTATCCCCTTAGCTCCCTGAATCTCCTAAAGATGAACAAGAGCGCACATTTAGAAAGACAATTCTTCAGTAATATTGATGGTAAATCACGATTTGAATTGAACCACTTCCACCCTCTCAGCTCACAAGTCCTCAGGCTCCTCCTTCACTGCTATTCATATAATAAACAACAATGGGAAATAAACTCAAATTAGCTGCATTCAAAAGTGAATTTGCCTAATTTACTATTGCTGAAAAAATATGGAGAATGAAACAGAGCAATCCTTTGAAATTCACACCTCTGAATTTTTCAAGGTTGAACAAGCCAGGTAATGTTCACAAAAATATATATTTATGAGGGTAAAGTACATTTCAAAATATTTATACAAGGAAGTAGCTACCCTAACATCTGATTCATTTTCAGAATAATAAATTAATAAACAGATTGATATGGAAAAAGGAGAAATGGGGAGAAGCTCAAATGGGCAGATTTCCCCATCCCTCCTCAGTCCTGACTCGACTCTTCAAGTGCTTGTTCCCTTCCTAGTAATAATAGAGACACTTACAAGGAGGTCTTTGCTTTCCTTGTCCAGGGCTGCTTGATGGGCCAGAATTTCCCTCTCTCTCTTTCCTTAGAATCTCCAGGCGGCGACAGATCTCTGCCTGAAAAGAAAAAGGAAATACTCAGTTTCGATTGAGACACCTGAGTGAATTCACCTGAGGTGAATAGTATGCTGGCTTCTTGCGCCCAGTGGTCTTGCTATAATAGCAGAGTAGTTTTTTCGAGGAAATAAGAGTCCAGAGGTTTTCAACCTTTTTGGGTCCATGGCTCCCTGGACCAGCTACCTTTTTTCTGTGCCAGCCCTGTGGGGCTCAGGGACCCAGTTAGGTCACCCCTTGCTTACAGACTTCCATCTAGTCTTTGCAGATGCTTTTCAGGGATATCAAGGGAGATCCCTTTGTCCCCTGGAAGAGAGAAAGACTGTGACTCCTTCTTCTCAGCCATGCCAGGAGCCCTCAGGCTTCCCCTGGGCTGCTTTTTACATAATAAACAAGGATGAATCCATGCCATGCCTACTTTGGACCTGAGAAGTAAAAAGAAAACCTCCCAAGAAAAATCCACAGCTATTTCTCCCCCTCCAGATCCAGGGATCTCCTACCTTGTATTCCTCCAAAGCCTCCTTCAGAGGAATCACCTCGTGGTTTTTGTGCTCCTTGGATCTGTCACAACCACACAAATGGGGGCTTCATCCTCCTTGCAGAAGAGCTTCAGGGGCTCCTGGTGCTCCTCGCAGACTCCTCCTTTCCCTCCTTCCTCCTTTCCCTCTTGAAGGCCGAGATTCTTAGCTATTTCTGCCACATTAGCCAGTTGCCGGTTGGAGACGAGGCTCCTTCTCTGGACTCTTTCTCTGCACTGAGGGCAGGAAGCCTCTGCCTCCGATTCCCCCCAGCACTGGATCAAGCAGGATCGGCAGAAGTTGTGCCCACACTCTGGGATGGTCACTGGATCCTTGAAGTAATCCAGGCAGATGGAGCAAGTGGCTTCATCACGGAGACGCTGGATGTGACCCTCAAAAGCAGCCATGGCTCCCTCCCGCCAAAAGCCGAGTTAAGTTTCGTTTTCTCAGTTTTCAGCCACTGGGAGTTTCCCTTCCTGGAAATGACTCAGTGATCACGTGATCCCCCCCCCCTTTTTTAAAAATGTCTCCAGGTCTTTGCAGTTCCTGAATGTTTTCTCAAGGAGCAGCGAATGCTTTTTGATTGTGTTATAAGAATTTTGAGTTGAATCAAGGTTTATTTTCCTCTGTATCAATAAGGGAATAAATATTTGCTATCAGTAAAGGATCCCCACTTGTCTGCCCCCCTGCATTGCACCCTCAAAACCACGGCATAGTCTGCTGTGTTGCTTCCTTTTCCAGCCACTGTGAGATATTATAATTGTGTTCACCGTCTCTGTACTAATGTTATTTCTTTAATGTTACTTTTACGTTGTCTCCCTACTGAATGTAACTTGTATCTCTGAACTAAATGTAACTTTTTAAGTGTAAAATGTACCTACTGTCTTGCAAAAGGAGAAAATAATGAAAACCTGTCAAATGTTCAAACCAGTGAATGCTTCTCTCTGTGAGGGAGCCTTCCCAAACCCGCTGAAAGAGGCGGTTATCAAACCGCTTCTTAAAAAAAATATCTTTAGATGCTGCCAATAGGGCCAACTCAACCCAGTCGCAAACCTTCCATTCTTGGGCAAGGTGATTGAGCGAGTGGTTGCTGAACAACTCCAAGCACGCCTGGAGGATGTGGACCATTTGGATCCCTTCCAGTCAGGATTCAGGCCTCATCATGGGACTAAAACTGCCTTGGTCACACTGGTTGATGATCTCCAGCGGGCTAGGGACAAAGGTGAGAGCTGTTTCCTAGTTCTGCTGGATCTCTCAGCGGCCTTTGACACCATCGACCATAACATCCTTCTGGACCGTCTAGAGAGGCTGGGAGCTGGGGGCACTGTCATACGGTGGTTCCACTCCTTCCTCCTGGGCCGTGTCCAGAAAGTGGCGGTGGGGGATGAGTGTTCAGACCCCTGGGCTCTCACTTGTGGGGTGCCTCAGAGTTCCGTCCTCTCCCCCATGCTTTTTAATATCTATATGAAGCCGCTGGGAGAGATCATCAGGGGGTTTGGGCTGGGTGTTCATCAGTATGCAGATGACACCCAGCTCGACCTCTCTTTCAAATCAGAAAAAGTAAAGGTGTGTGAGTGCCTGGAGGAGGTTGGAGGATGGATGGCGGATAACAGATTGAGGTTGAGTCCTGACAAGACAGAAGTACTGTTTTTGGGGGACAGGGGGCGGGTGGGTGTGGGGGACTCCCTGGTCCTGAATGGGGTAACTGTGCCCCTGAAGGACAAGGTGTGCAGCCTGGGAGTCATTCTGGACTCACAGCTGTCCATGGAGGCGCAGGTTAAATCCATGTCCAGGGCAGCTGTCTACCAGCTCCATCTGGTATGCAGGCTGAGACTCTACTCTGCCCATGGACTGTCTCACCAGAGTGGTGCATGCTCTAGTTATCTCCAGCTTGGACTACTGCAATGTGTTCTATGTGGGGCTACCTGTGAAACTACCTGTGAAACTACAACTAATCCAGAAAGTGGCAGCTAGACTGGTGACTGGGAAAGGCCGCCGAGACCACATAACACCCGTCTTGAAAGACCTAGATTGGCTAGGTCTAAGTCCTAAACGGCTTCGATGCAGTATACCTGAAGGAGCATCTCCACCCCCATCGTTCTGCCCGGACACTGAGGTCCAGTGCCGAGGGCCTCCCTCCCTGCGAGAAGTGAGGTTACAGGGAACCAGGCAGAGGTGCCTTCTCGGTAGTGGTGCCCACCCTGTGGAACGCCCTCCCATCAGAAGTCAAGGAATTAAACAACTACAGTGGTACCTCGGGTTACATTCGCTTCAAGTTACAGACTCCGGTAACCCAGAAATAGTACCTCAGGTTATGAACTTTGCTTCAAGATAAGAACAGAAATCATGCTCTGGCAGCACGGCGGCAGCAGGAGGCCCCATTAGCTAAAGTGGTGCTTCAGGATAAGAACGGACCTCCAGAATGAATTAAGTACTTAACCCGAGGTACCACTGTACCAGACTTTTAGGAGACATCTGAAGGCAGCCCTGTTTAGGGAAGTTTTAATATTTGATGGATTATTGTATTTTAATACTTTGTTGGAAGCTGCCCAGAGTGGCGGGGTATAAATAATTTATTATTATTATTATTATTATTATTATTATTATGTCTGTGCTGACCTTCCTCCTCCTCCTCCTTCTTTGGCGATCACTTGTAGCTGAGTAAGATTGTCTTCCATAAACACGTTTTTAACAATAAGCCGTAAGTGACTGTGGAGGCCATTTCTGGACCCACACGTCCTTCCACAATGGGGACATTGGTTTCCGGGCGGGAGTTAATCATGGTGTGGATTTGCCTAGTGTGCCTTCCTCTTAGCGTGTTTCTTCCTTGGGTCCTGAGTTCAAATGTCTTCAAAGCCCGTGACACCATTGGTAAAGGCTGTTCTCCAACTGGAGCGCTCGCAGACCAGTGTTTCCCAATTGTTGGTGTTTATACTACATTTTTTAAAAATTGCCTTGAGAGAGTCTTTAAACCTCTTTTGTTGACCACCAGCATTACGCTTTCCATTTTAAAGTTTGGAATAGAGTAGTTGCTTTGGAAGACAATAATCAGGCACCCGAACAATGTCTTTAACTGTTTTAATTCCCAGCTAATATTAAACAGGTGCTCAGGGCTCATGAATTCTAGGCGCCCCTTGTTAAAAGTGGTTTTCTGCGTTGTGAAGCAGAACTTGTTAAAAAAGAAAAGAAAGACACATAAGAATTGGAAGGGACCATGAGGATCATCAAGGCAATGGCATTAGAACCCATGACCCTGGGATTTAAGAATCTCATGCTCTACCAACTGAGCTTTCCTAAATAGCTTATGTCTCTGAACCCTCGCCCCCTTGGCTGATAAAAAACAGGGACACCTGGCTGGGCCCGAGGGGGTGGCATACCCTCCAACATTACTCTGATGAAAATAGGGGTGCCCTATTCTAATAATAATAATAATAATAATAATAATAATAATAATATTTATGCCCCGCTCATCTGACTGGGATGCCCCAGCCACTCTGAGCAGCTTCTAACATATATAAAACATAATAAAACATTAAACATTAAAAAACTTCCCTATACAGGGCTGCCCTCAGATGTCTTCTAAAGGTTGTATAGTTACTTATCTCCTTGGCTCTGGTGTCGCATAACTCCATACCCTCCAACATTTCTCTGACAAAAAGCGGGACGTCCCAGGGAAAAGCGGAACATTCTGGGATCAAATCCAAAACTGGGACGGCTTCTGTAAATCCAGGTCTGTCCCTGGAAAATACGGACACTTGGAGGGTCCATAAGACTCCACTGTTGCTTCTGGCGCAAGAGGGCCCCTTCAGATGGCAATAGAGCAATAACACAGAACAATTAATAAAACGGAACGATGTGCAAATGGTGCTGTATAAACTCACCTCCAATGACCTTGCAGGAAAACAGCACCACTGCGTAAGCTTGCAAGTTAATTAGGACAAATACGGCATTAAAAAGCTAGTGTGGTGCAGTGCTTAGAGTGCAGGACTAGGACCTGGGAGACTAGGGTTCGAATCCCCACTCAGTCAGGAAGCTCACTGGGTAACCTTGGGCCTGTCACTCACTCTCAGCCTAACTTACCTCATAGAGTTGTTGTTGTTGCTGCTGCTGCTGCGAGGACCTCACTGGAGAAAAGGCGAGATATCAATGTAATGTAGCAGATGGCTCTAGTACTCGTCTTATAGAGAGACCTGGGGCAGAGCCCCTGAACACCCGGGACAAAAACCCTCTAGCATTATTAAATCAAAAGAATATTTATTTCAGAAATACAGCATATCAGGCACACACAACTGGCAGACGAGACGATAATCATCAACACTGAAACCACTAGCTAGCGCTGCCTTCGGTTGTTCCCAGCCAGAGACGGCAGGGTATCGGATCGAGTGTAATTTACCACTCGAGTCGGAAAGCAGAGACGGGCTGTCCACACTGCATGCGTTTCACAGACAAAGTCCCGCCATAGAAGAGCCAGACGAAGAATCCCAAACACCATCGCTTAAGGTCAATAAACTCCAGCTGGGCAGGTGCCTGCGATCATAGAATCACGGAATTGTAGAGTTGGAAGGGACTCACAATGATCATCTAGTCCAACCCGCTGCAAGGCAGGAATCTCAGCTAAAGCATCCGTGGCTGGGGGCCACGTGGCATCAACGCCCCCATGGCATTTAGAAAACCCCGAGAAAATCCCTCCCCTCCCGTGAGTTCAATGGCTTAATTAATCATGCAGATCTGCAGTAACATCAAGCATATATTTTTCTTTCTTGGGGTGGGGAAGTGGGATTAAAAATAAAGGTAAGGAAGATCAGCCGGACAACAGGTGTGTGGCAGCTCTTGTGCCGTTGTTCTGCCAGGATTCGACCCGCCGGAAATCAAACTGAAAACGACTTAAGGCTTGGAGAAGCAACGGCTGATCCCTTCTCTAAAATCGATGGCCTCCATTTGTAAAGAGAACTTTGCGGCCTCAAAATGGAATCTCTTGGTGCAAAACAAGATGGCATCGGTTTCATTAAGAAGGCAATGCAATATAAAGCATTGATATCAAAGCAAGAACAGGAAAAGGTCCAGATTTTCTCTCCTGGAAAGAAGCGTGGATGGATATCCATTAAACAAGGGCATCCTTTACAGAGACCAGCTGCTAAAATAAAATAACACACACACAGCCAAAAGATGCAGGAAATCTACAGAGGTATTCATGCATTGCACATAAATATATTTTGGGCGCCAGAAAATGGTTCCTGGTGGAGTGACTGCAGAATCCCCTCTGAGCCAGACAGAGTTCATAGCCCAACGTACGTGAGCAAAATTCAACAGGGTGTCAACTAAGGAAGGATAAAGAAATAACTACTTGCCTGGGGCAAATAGACTGGGAAGCTTTTGTAAAATTAGAAGAGATTCCCCCCCCCAAAAAAAACCCCACAATCTAGGC